CCAGAAACAGGATAATGGTAGGAATGGAAAGGAAAAACATGTGACAAACACATTGACAGTAGAATTTATAGACTTCATCGTTAATTTAACATACAAGGCAAAGATATAAAGGAATAAATCCCCAAAATCTTGTGTCTGAATAAATAAGATTTTAGAGTCACTACCAAAAAACAGGAATCTGGGAAAACATTTGTCTGTGAAAAATATGCAGAGTATAGTTTGAGTCATTTTTTAGGAGGGGACAATAGAAATAAATGAATTTAAGTTGTGTAAATCTCCTCTCATTTGAAATATCAGAATCTAAACAGTCAAACAGATTCTGCAGAATAGGATTTTTTTCATTATGTTATACATGTGATTATATAGCTAATTGTTGTCAGGTAACAAAAAAGAGGAATATGCATCATCTACAGAATATATACAGACTTTAGAAAGGAGAGAGACATATTCCACACTCCACTAATGGGCTGGGACCAATGGGGAGCCCTGGGGGTGCACAGCCTGAGTTTCCCAGAACAAAACTGGATACTTTGTCGGGGAAAAAAAAAAAAAAAAGGTCATTGCAACTGTCAGGTGATAAATGAGTAACCAAGAAAAGGTTTAACATTTAGATCTACCTTCATCTATATCTTGGGATGAGGAAAGTTTTACAGAAATACCATGACACCAAAAAGGTTTAAAAGTTTATTGTAGACAGTAGTTTGAAATTATATCAATAGCACCACCCACTGGGCACAAAATAGATTGTTCTGACTTAGGAGGGAGTGTTCGGAGCACAAGTCATCACGGTGTGTGTGCAAATGTGTGCGTGCATGTGCGCTCTCTCTCTCTCTCTCTCTCTCTCTCACACACACACACACACACACACACACACACACAGGCAAAACTTTGTCCCCAGAGATTTCGAAAACTAAACCTAAGTTCAAAATCAAGCAATGAAATGTTTCCCCATGTACATCAGCAAAACTAATTAAGACACATTATTTGGACATTCTACTTCTATCTAAAATATATAAATTTGAAAAGATTCTCTTTCCTAGCCTAACAAAGAGAAAATGATGTGTATAACACAGAATTATATGGCTTGGAATAATCTATGGTAGGCTTAAAAATAAAAAAGTCCCAGCCCCACCTAATAAGATTCCCAGGTTTTAATTCCTGAAACCTTAAAGTATAGGACCTCATATAAAAAAGCTTTTGTAGATGGGATTGTAAGATGGGAAATTGTTCTGAATTACGTTGGTGGGTCAAATGTGAGTACAAAGTTCTTTACAAGAGAAAAGAAGAGGTACAGAAAGAAATGGAATAAAAGAAAGCATAGGTCAGAGTGACAAGTTCATGAGCTCTTTAACTGGAGAAAAAAGCTGAGCCAATAAAAGTGAGACTAGTTTTGTCCCTAGATACACCCTCCAGGAAGGAGCACAGTCCTTCTGATGCCTTTATTTTTTTATCCCAAGTGAGACCATTTGAACTTCTGACCTCTGGAATTACTATTTTTGTCATCAACATTGAGATTTTATATATAATATACATATCTGATTTTTTTAATAAATTATACACACAATTTTGGGAGACAGACTGGTAGTTTCTTATAAAACTTGGACTCATCCTGTAACTCAATACTATAACTGTTTATCCAAGAAAAATAAAAACATATCCACATAAAAATTATATATGAATGCTATAATTTTATTCATAACACCCAAAACTGGATATAACTTTAATATCTACTCACTGATAACTGGACAAACATACTGTGTTATATTCCTATAGCAGAATGCAATGAAAAGAATTCATGATACAAGCTATGTGATGTTAATATCTTAAATGTAATACACTATATGAAAGGATCCAGGGTCTAAAAGCTTCATATCACATGCCTTCTCTTGTAAGACATTTTGTAAAGAAATATCTAAAAAAACAGAACCCAGCTGTGCTTTCTGGATTGGTAATAAGCAAAAGGACTACAAGAGTTTGAAGAAACATTTTGCAAATATTTCATGCTATCATTGTAGTGAGGGTAGGCAGAACAGTATACATTTGTCAAGAATCAAATGAATTTTACGGTATGTAAATGCAGCCTCAATATACCTAATTCTAAAAAATAAAATGAGATGCAAGTGTCTGGAAACTGGACTGAACACTTTTTCATTTAAAGATTTCTCCAACCTGACAAGTCCTGAGCTTTGCGGAATTGAGCAGTAACAAACCAAGACAAGGTTGCAGTGAACAGTAATCGTCAGGCTCTCACACACTGCTAAAGTTCAATTGAAAATGTCTTAGAAATATTAAATGTTTCTTCATACTCCTTCCCATTACTGTACAAATTATTAAAGGTTTTGTTTTAGGCAAATGTGTTTAACAGATATCTACCCAGTTCAATAATCGAAAGACTTCTCTGTTCACCTCCGTTTCCTTCCCCACTGGGAGCCTTCATTACCAGTTTCATGGATCGCCCTCAGAAGTATGCTACTGTAAATGAGTAATTTTTCTTTTTCTTACACATGATGTGATCCTGATATGTCAGTTTAATTGCATTGAGAAATGCAGATTTCTAAAGCACCCATCTGGCTGTGTCTGGGTGGGTCATGGAAGTGTGACCCTCAGGTCTCTATCTGGTCCCTGATTTCTCTTTATCTCTGACACTGTGCTCCTGCTCTGCTTCCTGGCTCTCACGAACTACGAATCTTTGCTGTGCCATGATGCTCATGCCTCCAAGTCACCCAACCATAGACTGAATTGCCTGAAACTCTGAGCCAATAAAAACCTCTCCTTTAAATGGAAGTATATCAGGTATTGTGTCCCAGTGACAGGAAAGCTAATACAAATGCTAACTATAGTCTCATCACTATTATGCATCTCAATATTCCTCAGCTCCTTGACATTTTTCCACATCAATATATATGGAGCTCTCTTACTTGCTATAATCTGGTTCTGAAATGTCCCCCAAGATCATGACATGAGTGGAAGGTGGTAGGTAGAGCTCTTATGGAGTGGGGCCTAGTGGAAAGGAGTTAGTAGGGTGTGCCTTCTATGTGGATGCTGGAATCCCGGCTTTTTGCTTTCTGGCCACCATGAAGTGAACAGGCTTCCCCTCCCACTCACTCTCATTGTGACGTGCTGTGCTGTCACAGTACCAAAGCAACACGTCAACCACGGACAGGTACCTCCAAGTCTGTGAGACAAAATCAACTTTCCTGCTTTATAAGTTGATCAACTCAAGTCTTTGACACAGTGACAGAAAGTTAATACATTATTCTCTGGGGCTGTTTTACACAAACATCCACTGTTACTTTACCCAGCCTCTTACTGACAGAACTTTAGATTGTTTCAAAGCTTGATTAAAAGCAATGCTACACTGAACCTATTTTCACATACAGTATTTGTAGTTTTATAGAAACACATCTGTGGAATGAGAGGGCTCTGTACATATTTGTAAATATGATCTATGCTAATGCCTTCTAAAGGGCAGAAAAATTCACACTTGCACCATCCAATAAAACAGTGTCTTGCACAGTCACTATCAAGAATTTTTTGATTTCTGCTAAGTGAAAAATCATACATCATAGTTCTGTTTTTGGATTATCCTTACTATGAATGAGGTTATACATCTTTCTTAATGTTTCAGAATAACTTTACTCTATAAACAATTTATCATGTCCTTGTCTTTCATTTTTCATGGAATACTTTGAGATTTATATAATATATGAAGTATGAATCTAACCCTATCTTTTCCTTGCTAGCTGCCCAATTGTCTTCATATCACTTACTTAAAAAAAATTCAATTTCTACATAGAAAAGTAAAACCTATCTATCACACAGTAAATGTTCAAATGCATTAGTCCCTATAATTGGTTTGTTACTTGATCTGCCTCTGCAACAGTTTTACATGAATTAACTACTCAGGCTTTAGAATCTGTTGTAATATGTGTAAAGTATAATGTTCCCTCATTGCTCTCGTTTAGTTTTGCTTGCAATTTTATTTTCACATGAAATTTAGAATCAGCTGGTTTAGTTCTGCAAAAGCTCACTGGTCTTATAACTCACAAACAGAATTAAAAATCGAGGCATGACAAATAATTCAAGGTGCATATTGAAAGCTAGTGAGATATGAAAAAACATAACTCTTAAACATAACAGCTTTCATATGGCAAGTGTATGTAACTGAACTTGGTTCTGTATCAAAATTATACGTATGGGGTAAAAATATCCAACGTCACTTGTACATACAAGTTTTACGGTTCCCCTAATACTAGTAGCAAGGAAGATTGTGAAAAAAAGTATTTAGAAGTACTCAAATGGAGAGTATCTATTTAATCACAAATATTTTGATGGCAATCATTTTGTTTTTAAATGTTTTTAAATATATACAAAACTGTTAAGTACGAACAGAAAAAATTTCAAGTTGCCTGAAGAGATGGTATGAAGGCAGAAAACAAAAATGGCAAACATTAGGAGACAAAAAAGCCCTGCCGTTTTCTAAAAAAAAAGCAAAAACAACATCAAAAACACTGTATTGTCTCAAGAAAGTGGTAGGTGGTAAAAAGGGAAAATGAATTTATAATTAAAAAAAGAAAAATCTAGAATTCTGAAATTTTACATTAGATTTTAAAATAAGCTTTTCTACTCTTTTTTTTTTTGGGGGGGGGGGGGGGGGAGATGTGCCGGGGATCAAACTCACAACCTCACACTCGCCAGACAGGGGCTTGTGCCACTGAGCTAAATCCCCAGCCTCTATAAGCTTTTCTACTAAGCAAGTGGTGCCACAAGTACTGCCAGAGCTGACGCCCAAGTAAACATGCTGCAAGCACCTCAGAGACTTTGCAACCCTCCTTCATTCCATGCTAGGCAGGAAACTCAGTTTGTGATACTGCATTTTTGATGTTCAAATGACAAACTATAAATTCAGTCCACAGCAAACACCACTGCCAGTTCACTGGCTTAAAGAAAAAGATAATCACTGTTAAATACACAGACTTTCTAAACACACGCACACATAATTCAGAGGGAAGGAAATGTTTATTTGTCATTAATCTTTAAACATAATCACCATAGTTTTGTAGGTTTAACTGAGTTGTATGATTAATAACATTTCCAGGAGTTCACAATTTCAAGGCTAAGGTTCTGATGAAGGTAATATGGTTATGAGTTTAATATACAGGAAGGTTTTTTTAAAAAGCTAAAAGCGATCTGCCCTCTTAAAGCAACTATGAATGATGCCAGACTTGGTAATGTCAGTACACTTCAGTACTACGACAGTCAGAGCCAGGAGGGCTTCACTGGAAGATGGGAAGGAAGCACACTATCTTCTTCTCTGTGTCAGTGAGCAGCGTGCTGGAGGAAGGCAAGGTGTGGCACTGGCGTCCGAGAGCTGCAGCTGCACGTGCTGAGGGAGGTGGCAGTGGCAGGGGCCGCCGCAGGGCAGGGATCACTCAGTCGTCCTCTCCTCCACAGAGCAGCAGCAGGGCCTTCTTATAGTCCCCAGATGTGTCACTCTACAACCCAAATGTACTCCATTAACCTCCGTGACTCACGGAATCCACAGGAAATACAACCCCAGGACGCATCTGCCAAGAAACTGTGCTCCTATGACTTCTCTCCCAAGTGAGTAATTTCTCTGTGACTTTCACATTAGGAATGCTAAACCAGGAATTTCTTACCAAGTAATCTGTTTAATTTTTCTGAATTTACTTGTTAAAGGCATAGTTCTATCTACAATTAAGTACCATATGGGCCTCTCTCTAGGAGAACAAAGGTCAGGGAAACGTATAAGCATATTGAAATCGAGCTTTAAAAATAGACTCCATGTCTTATCACGCATTATGTAGCTGGCTCAAGGGCAGCAAAGCTGAGGCCACATGGGGGTTGTTGCTGTGCCTCAAAGACAGAAAGAGAAGCAAAACATACTTCGCCTCTGTCTCACACACAGATGTGGATGAAATATTAAGGTTTCAAGCTGTAAGTACAAAGGCAAACTCTCTGGTGCCCTTCAGCCCAGCCAAACTACACAACATTAAGTCAGAAGGTTTTGCTCATTGAAATCTTGTTCTGTACTTGGCTCACACTAACACATCCAAAGGGTCAGGCGCCAAAAGACCTTAGGCCAAATTTAATTCTAGATCACAGTGACTTGCTTTTAAGAGAATAAAATTAATAGTAACACTTGTTAGCTTAAAGGCCCCCTAGCAGCCTAACTTCTATTCCAGGTTGAAAGCCGGCTACGTCTCTCACTTCTTTCCCCACCCCAAGCTCTGTCCCCAGCCCCAGGCTGAAAAGCCCCTGCCCTCCCTCTTGCAGACTGAACTCACTACTGCAGCACCCCTGATCTGCTGCTGTGCTCCTCGTGTCCTAGCTCTTAAATCTACCAACAGTGATTAGGAGCTTCAGTCAAGGTATGACTTGGCTAGTTCTTCCTGAACTATGAATGAACACCAGACACAAGGTGATAATGGATAATAAACAAAGGAAAAATCTGGTATTCTAGAAAGGAGGAAACAACAGACAGCTGAAACTGATAAAATACAGAATGAACACATTATTACCAGAGGCAAGGACTTGGGCTTGTTGAGTCATCTGTCACCACTACTAAAAAATGTTTCTAAGTTCACCACGAGGTTCAGCTCACCGATACTCAAACTCTCCCTTAGGAGCTATGGTCCGTATTTCAGAAAGCACTGTGCTGAGTTTCACTCCTGTAACTCCGAGCTCTACTTTCACAATTAAAATCTAACACTGTCACAAGTATTGGATTCCCCCATCTGTGACTTAAATGCTACCTATTGACCTGCTCTAGGCATTTAAACAGAATTTACAAAAAGGTTCTATTATCTTGTTATGATATATATTTAGATGTCCCCCCAAAGTCTCATGCAGTCATGGGCATGGGCCTCGAGAGTCTGTCATTTATGGTCTAATGCTGGGATTATACGTGGAGGTGCTACACCAGCCCTCGGGCAGGAAGCCTGCATACTATATAAGGGAGGGAAAGAGGCTTGCTCTCTCCACTCCTCCCCGTTCTGCTCTTGCTGCTTTTGCCGTCTTCTGCCATGCCACCCTGCCTTGGAGCCAGCCAATTACGGACTACAACCTCTACAAACTCTGATGTAAATAAACTTTTCCCTTACCTTTGGGTATCGAGTATTTTGTCTCAACAATAAGAAAAGTAACCAAGACATACCTTAATCATGGAATAAAGAGAGGTGGCAAAATTCTTCCTAAACTCCTTCCTGATGTTAAACAGATCGATCTCACTCCTAGACACCATGACTCTGATGAGGGTATGATCATCTGTCCCAGCTCCCTTTAAAAAAGAAAAACAAAGGTATGTTGTTTAAAAACTTTGAACACAGCATCAAACACCCCTGACCTGGGTTAAGTCAATAAAGCCAAACAATGTAATAGACCTACCTGGGTTATATATTTTAAGAAGAAAAAAAATTCCCTATCAGCGATGGAGAAACATAACTAAAGTGACAAATTAGAATCTTCAGGACAGCTATTTACCTTCATAGCATAATACAGGGTTTCTGCAAGGTAGGCAGGAATACTCCGAATGGATTTCACTAAGAAAATAAAAAATACAATGATCAGACATTATTCTATCAAGAAAATAAAGTAACTTAGGCTAGGACTGGAGGTTTAACTCAGTGAGAATGCACTTGCTTAGCATGTGTGGAGTCCTGAGGTCAAAACCCGGCACCGTTAAAAAAAATTTCAGAATTTTTTTAAAAAGTAACGTGTTAAGGAGCTGCTTATTTGCAAACTGATTTCCTCACTCGCCAACTATTTTCACAGATACTAGCTTCAGTTTTCCTTGGAGTTGCGTTCTTCATAAAAAGAAAACACAGAACAAAGGCACAGGTTTCTTCTACGCCCCTGTCTTCCCTCAGCACCTGTGGCTGCGGCAGTTTCAGCAGCCTGGCATTTTACTACACCACAACCTCCTTCATCACCAATGAATTAAAAGACTTTTGAAGCTTTAATTCCAAGACATTCAAGCAAATCCTATAAGACTAGTGTCCTTACCGGGTGTGTGGCTCACGCCTGTAATCCCAGCACTTGGGAGGCTGAGTTGGGAGGATTGTTGTGAGGTCAAGACCAGCCTGGGTTACAAAGTGAGCTCAAGGCCAGCCTGAACTGCATAGTGAGATCGTGTCTCAAAAAGACAAAAAAAAATAGATTACTGTCCTCGCTGATCTTTGAAAAATTGTGGTCTACCTTCCTATACCTTCTCTGTATTCTTTAAAATTCACAATTCATTAGTAGCATGATATTAGTTCAACTCTGGACAAATACTCAAACTCACATCAGAAGAGTGTATCCTCTCTGAACTTGTACATGACCAATAGCAATTAAGTATGCTAATACCTCAGTGTGTTCAGCTTCATACAAAAACTCCTTCATAAACAAAAATTAGCCTTGACTGATGAGGTTTTTGAACTCTCACTTTCCCACTGCTTTAGAAAAACTGACACCAGCAATCAAAAGGTCATAATTTTCATGTGTATTCTAATTACAAAGGCACTAATAGCTTTCTAATAAAAGCTCACTAGCAGCATATTCAAATGAAAAGCTACTTTTAGTGTCAATTCATGCAAATCTTTAGCTTATTCTCAAGGAAAAAGGAAACTGAGCTCAACACCTAATATTCAGAACTAAAATTAGACAAAAGTTCCCTGCAGATCCCATGTGAGACCCAGGATCACTGGGAACTCACAAATTAGCTTCTTTTTGGCTTTGGAGAGTAATAAAACTCACCTGCACACACTCAGGTCTCCAATTTTCTCAGATTATTCTAAACATTTGCTTCAAATAAAATTCTCAATCATGTAACCTCAAAAGAACTATCATTTCATCTTCTATTATATCAAAGATACTCTTTTTCTAAACACATGACAGTTTCTCAGTTTGCTTCAAAGCTGTGAGGATGGTATGCAAGAGAATTCTAAAATTCCACAGGTATCAGTCACAGTATTTACCATCCACTAAGAAAATGCCCACGACATCATATAATGAAACAGTAGTAGGTTCAATGGAGTTTCAAAATGATTTTTTAATGATACTTAATATTTCCATTTTGAACTAATCTGATGATTATGTATTCCATTTTGTTGTCTTTTTTGTTCGTTTGTTTGTTTTGGTCTTTTGAGACAATGTTTCACTGTGCAGTTCAGGCTAGGCTTTAACTCACTTCATAGCCCAGGCTGGCCTCAAACTCACAGCAGTCCTCCTGTCTCAGCCTCCCAAGTGCTGGGATTATAGGCCTGCGCCACTGCACCTGGCTTGATCCTATATTTCTAACATGAAAACAGATTTCTAAATTAGAAACTTAGGGACTGATGCCACCCAACAGCATGGCACGTTCATTTTTCCATAAAGAAATATATGGTTGTCTTCAGATTTAACCTCATTTGAATAAAATACTTAATCTCTTATCACCACAAACATTATATACATTGAAAATTACCTACCAACAGCAAGCAATAGCTGCTCCAAATTACCAGAAGTCTCCCGGTCAATGGTTTCCTCAATTTGAAATCCTGATATAGTCATGTACTTGTCAAACACTAAAAAAACAAAAAACAATGCCTTAGTCACATGAAGATCACTCTTTCCAGAACAAAGTATTTAGTCTGACCAGATACTGCCCTCCTGACCTTTCCTAGAACACAGCCTTTACTCCCCTTATAACAATCCTGATGCTCAAAGATTCCTGCACCAGGCTCTAAGTAATGGTTTATAAATGCTTTGTTCACTGGTTTCCTGAACCCCCTAAAAGTTATAACCATGAGATCTAAAGTAATTCTGCTGCAGGGAATTCTAAGTAATCTTTCTCTTTCTTTATAAAAAGTAATAGGTATAACTAATTTACCCCTTTCTTTTCTTCTTGCTAGCAAATGCATATATTTTGAACTATAGCAGCCAATTTATGATGATAAGGTAATGAGCATAGAAATAAAAATCTAAACATTAACGATAATAGAGTAGAAACACGGAAACATTCCAGGTCCCACCAAATCAAACATGGAACTCAACCTTCAGAAATAAAGCCCAATTTTTAAAGCTACTCCTCTTAGGATTTCCTGTCACCTGCCACTGAACTATCAACCAGTACTGAAAGTACCAGTGAAAATCCAGATAAGGTCTCGGTATCAATGTCTAGGAGAAAACTCTTGTAGTGAGCCAATTCTCAGTGGTTTCTGACTCAGAGTAAAATTCTAGAGATCCTCTGATAGAGAAGTGAGGATTAACAAGCAAAGCGAGTGATGAGATTTCTCCACATTACTATGTGGACACACACAAAACCTGGTTCATTAAGTGCCTCTAGGTGACAAATATTTTGCCACACTGCTTTATATTCTCAAAATTTGCCAAAGTGTTTGTCTCACGCAGATTTTTTTCACTCACCCCTTCTCAAATGAGACAAACTTCGTGTTCCAAAGATGGTGATGAATTTTTCTTCATCGGTCCCCCATTTAAGTTCTCCAGCTTGAAACAGAGTCTGCAAAATTTTCAACCTCAGTTAATAAACTGGTCTTCTGTGTTTCCTTCCCAGGTTCTTAATCACCCTTGTTCTTTATTCCCTGAATAGTAAATTCACCTGATTCATCTGCATACACTTGCCATTTCTAAACTTTTCAACAGTGATACTCAGCCCACTGAAACAGGAACTACCTGGCAGCTTGCCGCTGAGCTGTGCCACCACAAATTAATGGGCAAAAGCAGGAAAGTCCAGCCAGAGTGCAACATTAAATCTTCTCAGAACATCTGCTGTAACTCCCAATCTGTCAGGCACAACAGAGTGGGCTGAGGGGAAGTTCTGATTATCTCAGTGTTGATACATGTACCTAACAGGCTGGGAAATAATTTACCTGGGAGCTAAGTTATCTGTATTTTCTGTTTTACTTATTCTATAGCTGTCCAGGATGAAAAGTACTCTCCATATTTTCTCTTTACAACTAAAATTGAAGGCTAGTTTTAAGATGTGTTCATATTCCAAAGAGCACACTAAATTTTTAAGAGTGTTAGTGTAGCACAGTGATTGGTACATATCAGGCACCAATAAACATTTGTGCCGAGTCATGTGAGCAACCATATTTACTTTTTGACATGAAAAAGATCAATGGTTTCCAGTGTTCATATAGCGTTCATAAAAAATAACCTATATACAAGCATTATCGTTAAATCTGAATCCACCTACTAAGATGAAGGTAATTTATTAAAACCCAAGAATCGGTTTATGACAGCACACAAAAGTACTCTTTAGTTACTAATTTCAAGTTGTGTACCCTTAAGCCAACATGCATGAAGTGTTTTATAGCTGCTCCCCAGAGGTAGCAGCTCAAACAAACAGAAAGTAATAACCACTTGCATTGGAAGTGAAAGTTTGATTACAAGACTTCTAAGAATATTGATTACGGTGATCTAGATTTATTTTTTGTTACATTTCTAGAGTACTAAAGAAAAAGATGAGACATATTTTTACACTCAAACCTTAAACTCAATTTACTTTACGAATAAAAGCAACCAGTATCAATTCTGGGAATGTGAAGATGTTCTTCAAAACTGAAAAGACCATTACCACGGAAACCATGTGTGTATCTACATTTTAGGACTATACGGACCTTTCCTAAAATAGTTTTTTTTAATCAGAAAAATGAGACAAATTCTTTAAGAAATCTTATAGATAGAGAAAAACACTAATAAGGAATAAAATTACCGTTTATGTCAGCATCCTTGGGATGATGGCAACCATCCCTGGTATACTTTCTACATGTAGACAAGAGATACACATACATACTCACACTCGAAGGGGGAGAAGGGTCATCCTACACAATACTGCAGGTGTTGTTAATGCATGCATATTTTATGTACGTTTCTGTATTTCTAGAAATTGTCTGTAATAGGTAGAGCAGTTAAACCTGTTTTATGGGCATAACTGGTGAAACATCAACTATTCTTTAACTACAGTCTCAGTTTTCTTGGAAGAATTATGCCTGGAATCAGTATCTATTCTGGGGGCTGGGGATTTAGCTCAGCAGCATAAGCACTTGCTTTGTAAGCAGGCAGTCGTAAGTTCGAGCCCCAGTACTGATAAAAAAAAAAAAAATCTATTCTGAAAAGATTAGTAAACCATAAGCAATAATGATGTTGGAGATGGTGTCTCCTCACAGAACAATGATATTTAAAGATTTTGTTATGTATTAATCTATGTATCTTGCCTCTAAATAAGAATGTCCAAAACCCATGGAATGGATGAGGGACCTCTACACCTCCTCATGGCTCCCCCTTCCCTTACAGTTCACCCTGAGCACAGTTTGAAAAGCCCTGGTTCAGGATAAAGGCAGAAGCTTGGAAGGCAAGAAAGATCTGGTTCTGGTTCTTATCTGTGAGATCATGATGAGCTACTTAGTCACTTCTTAAGCCTCCATGTTTATCTGCAGAGCAGGATTCATGGTTCTACAGGGTCATTAATGGAGATCACATAACCTAGGTAATTCATTGAGCAGTAGCAGGTAATCAGTAGTAGCTGCTCAATAAACACTGATTCCTTTCTCCTTTCCTCTCCTCTTTCTGCACTCAACTTTTCCTCCACACATACAAAGATTTGACAGAGAAAATACAAATTCATTCCAATATTTTAAAACTATTAAACCCATGTAATACATTTTAAAAAGACATTTGACACATTAAAAAATAATTTAAAATGAAACGGATTATCTACAAAATGTTCAGTTCCTGGGTGAATCATTCACTGTGGTTTATTAGTGATTTATATGTGATTTAACACAAATCTTCCTGGTGTCAGGTATTAGTAGAGAAAAAAATCCAAAAGCTTGTTTCAGTTTACCCTCAAGTAAGAATTCTCAAATTCTCATTAGTGATGAGTTTATCTGCCCTTACTACAAGGTCTAAATGAATGTGTTCCTTTCCATAAAGCTGAAAGAATAATTATTTCCAGCAGGTTGAATTAATAATAACCCATTTTAAGAAATTAAAAACTTATAGCCAGTGTAGCTTGCTCTCTTTCGCCCCCAGTCACTGGAAGGGAAGAAAAGCTGGGTTCAAAGGGTATTTTAAAGCAACCCCACACAGCAGTCCCTTCCAGCATCTCACTATCAGAGCTCTGAATGGTCCTATCTGCTGCATGACAGGAGTGACAGCCTACGGGCTCAAAGTGCGGTCCAGGGATTAGGAGCCTTGGAGTCTCCCTGACAACACGCTGGAAATGCAGCCTCCTAGGTCCCACCAGGACCTGCGGAATCAGGTTAGGAGCCTTGGAGTCTCCCTGACAACACGCTGGAAATTCAGCCTCCTAGGTCCCACCAGGACCTGCGGAATCATTCAGTTTAACAAGATTCCCTGGTGACTCACACACCCAGGAGGCTGAGAAGCACACTGTGGTGAGCGCTTTGAGGACAGAAATCAGTGGAAATGGGGTTCAAGCGCACTGCCTTCCCTCCAGCGCCTCAGGGCTCTCATTACTTCCCCGACTGCTGGGAAATCTCCCTGTAGCTCCCCGTCCAACGCAGCCATGGGACACTGAGAGCCACTCTGAACAGAGACTGCTGAAAAGCTTCCAGAACTCGTCTCCTGAGAGCAGGAATGAGGTCATGAGCACTGCCTCTGACCAAGGCCCACAAGGAGGAATGCCTGGAAAGCAACAAGGTCGTCTCAACGTCAAGCAATACGCCTACACATGGGAGGCGACCTACGGGCTGCCCTCGCCCTTTCTCCCTCCACCAGAAGGCGGACTTAAACTGGATCTGTATTTAATCAGGCCTTCGTATGACAAAGGACTCTGAGAGGCAGGAGTGGATAGTCAGGAACAGCGAGACTGCTGTCTAGAGAAAGGGCTTCAGGGTCCAGCAGGCCTGCCTGGGAATCCCAGCTCCACTGCTATTTGGTAAAAGCCATGAGCTTGTTTCCTTATCTACAGAAGGAAAATCGCACCCCCTATTTTAGAGTCAAGCCCTAATTCATTCATTTACGGAATGCCAACTACATGCTTGGAGCAGGATGAACTGAACTGGCCGCTCCGTGCCCTGGGAAGGCAGTCACTGTGGGTGGCTGAGCCAGTGACACATGAAGCCTGGTACACTGCACTTTGCCTGTAAGGACTGTAAGAATCACACATGGAGGCGCAGGTGGGAGTGGAGTGAACAGGAGAGGTCAGAGGGCCAGAAAAAGCAAGAGAAGGCGCACAGGGTAGGGCACGGGGAAAGCAAGACACGGATCATGAGGGGCTTGCAAACCACATTTAGGGGCCCGGACTGCATCCTGAGGACAATGGGAGAGTTTTAAAGTCTTGAACAAGAAAGTGACACAATAGCATTTGATAAGCTACAGTAAGGTAAAAATCAAATACTGCACATTCAAAAGCATTCAATTCTTTCCGCCTCCTGGCAGCAATGCAGCACTCTGAAGCCACCGTGCAATCAAATCAATGCACCCCAAGACACAACAAGAACACGACAAGAGAGTCAGTGTTCTCCTCTCCCATCAGCAGAGCCAGCAAGGGAAGAGCCCAGCAGAGGAGCACATGCATTTATTTCTTTCTTGGCCGTGAATGACTAACAACCAACACTGCATCAGTTTAACCAAAACACGTGACCAGAGAGATTGGATGACCCTGGGCGAGGCCAGGAACTTAAGTGCCTAATTCCTTCATTACCGATTTCCATTTTCTAACTCTCCTGTTTCAAATTTCCTAATACTTAATTCTCACATTTGAGTGTTTTATAAACCACAATGAGATTATGCTGGGATGTGAAAGTCCCTTAAGTGCAAACTTTCCTTTGAGAGTCACTAAAGAACAGTTGCCAGAAAAGCACTATGGTTTAGAATTCTGTTAAAGGAAATTTAGAGAAGCTTCCTAATGTGAAAATAACCTCTCATCAGTTATGTAATTAGACACCACTTATCATTAAAGCTTTTATTCTTTCTTTTGTATTTTCTCTTGCTAAGAAATTTTCTGCACTGTAGGCAGTGGAATCAGTAACACCTGAGTTTTATTTTTGTACAATTCTGAATTTTATAAATGTCCCATGATCACAAGAAAACTAGAACATGTCTAGGTAGAATCTTCTATGTAATTTACTTTATTTCATTTTAGCTTTGGAATAAAGCAACTATTCTGTTGGCCAAAACAAAACAGAGACAGAGAGAATAATAAACACATGCAAGTCTTGTGATGTTAATGACCCACAGCAGATCACTTCTAGAGGCTCTTACGACATAGGCTGTGCTGCCCCGTGAGTTCTTTTTCCATCTCTGAGTCGTAATTAAACATCATCAGATGGTAGCAGCACTCACCTGAGCATCTTGTTCAACTTGACTTTCATTAATTCCAACTTCAGGGTCTCGATTTGCCTGTAAGACAAAATATGTCACATTACTGAATTACACTGCATGTTCCTTCTGATAGTTATGGAAATGAAGCTTTTTTCTCTTAACAATAATATGCCATTTATTAAGATCCTATCAATCCTAATATTTTACCTTTTCACAACTCCAAAATTAGTATGATCCCCCCCCACCTCTGATTTTAGATTTGGTGGAAGAGGAAGATGTGTACTGCTATCAAAAGCAAGTGGATGTATTAGTTACTAAGAATTTAGGTCATAAATGTAAGTATGGGCAACATTCAACAACCACAATAATCAGCAAGTACCAAAAATTATTTTAAGTGGCTTTACTTAATAGAGTCAGGGCAGCCCAACCTCAGACATTTAGTCAAATACAGTTCATCCCCACCCAATACCTGAAGGAGAACCACCAACATCCTCTGGTAGTTCCCTGATGTATCCCCCACCACGTCATCTTCCAGGCTTGAGCCATATTCTGCAACAGAATTATTTCACACTTACTGTTTCTACCAACCACAAAAAGATACCCTACCCTATTAATCAAATGAAAAATACACAAAGGAAAAATACTGCATTTGCTAAACATGAGCGCTTTGCAGATACTTTGAGTGGTTGGACAAAAATTAATTTTAAAGTCTCTCAAAAGCACTTGACTCAAGTTCAAACTCGTAACTCAGGCAATTTGGAATGCTTCCAACCACGTATATTTATTAATCTAAAGACACGTGGAAGTACTGTAAAGCCTCTCAAATATAATCAACCACAGCTTTAAGCTTTGTTTTTTCTTTCAAATGTTTAAGCTTTGTTTTGCTTTCAAATGTTTTACATAACTGGTTTCCAAATGTCTTCCATCCCCTGAGTTTCCTTTCCTTGTGCAAGGCCCTCCCTCTAATAAGCTTTTTTTTTCCTCTGTAGCAACTAAAACAACTCTGAGAGACAGCAATGACATTTTAAATTTGACCCTTCTAACTGTACTGCCAACTCTTCAACATATAAGATCATAGGACAAGGGAGACCTCTATAGGGGCGGGGCCTCTAAACCCTTCCCACCCACACTGAGACAGCTGCTATTATAAGGAAACACATTCCCTTAATGTGCTTAAACATTTAATCACTATCTGAGTGCAGGTGAAGTTTAAAACCCTAAAGCCTCTATTTTAAAGGGAAAAAGTATACGTTTATTCCAACCAATTTCCCAAACAAAACCTTGCAGGTATCTGATTCCTCTGTTTCAACACCTGTAAATAACAAATGTCAAATCATATCAAAAGGTTTCTTTCTCTGTGATTTAAGCTTGCCAAACCTCCCCCATCGCCCTAGGTAGAGCCTTAACTACTGAAAACCTCGCCTATCGCCACACACATCTGGCTATTAAGTAAGCCTCCTGATTCAAAACCCCTTTCTTCTTTCAATTGTTCCTTCAGCACTCCACAGCCCATTTTGGAACTTACAGTGCCTTTGAATCAAGTCCAATTTCATCATCCAGTCATGCAAAACCACCTGGGACATAGCTCAGTGATGACAAACCCTTCAGAGCTTCCAAGGACACAAACAGCCTGGTGTGGCCACAGGCTCACCACCACTGACCCAGCCTAGCCTGGCTCATTCAATTTCTCTTCCTAATAGACACACACAGTTCCTGTACTACAGGCGGGCTCTCCCCAATCCTTGAATCTACTCTTCTCAGTCTAGTGTCCATGCCACAGAGGACAGTGGGCACCTGTGCCCAGAATACCTTCTTAAAACCCACTGTCTTTTCTTCCCCACTCTCCACTGAGCTGTAAATGTCAAAAATAGCATTCATTTAAGGTATACAACATGGTGTTTTGATGCATGTATGATTACCACAAACCAATCAGTGTTTTATCACCTCACACAGCTGCGTGTGTGTGTGTGTGTGTGTGTGTGTGTGTGTGTGTGTGTGTGAGAGAGAGAGAGAGAGAGAGAGAGAGAGAGAGAGAGAGAAAGAGAGAGAGAGAGAGAAGCACATGTAAAACTTTCCAGGAAAACTTGAAGTATACAGAAATATTAATCTAGTCTCTATGCTAAACATCAGGCGCTCAGAACTTTTTCACGCTGCCTAACTAAAACACTGTGCCCTGTGACCAGTATCCCCTCATCTCCTTCCCCTCCCCATCTAACACCCAGCCCCCGGCAACCCCCATTCTACTATCCACTTCTCTCAGTTCAATTTTTTAAATTCCATGTGTAAGTGAGATCATGCAGTTATTTGTATTCCTGCACCTTTTTTCATTTAGAACACCTTCCAAGTTCATCTGTGCTTCCAAGTTCCATGCATAGGACACTCTAAGCTGAAACAAAAAAGGTCAGGTGGACTAAAAGGAAAAATCAAAATGCAAAGGACAGGAGTTCCTATTTTAAGTTGGAGTAAATTGCACTGTGTGTGTGTGTGTGTGTGTGCGCACTATTTCCTTATCCACTCATTTGAAAACAGATACTCAGTAAGCCCACTGAGTCTTGAAAGCCTGTCCTATTTAATACATGAACTCTTCTCAGCACCCAAATACCTGGTGATGTTCATGTCATCCTCAGCCCTCAAGCTGCACACAAACCTCTTCAGGACAGGAGCTGTGTTTGCACAGCTAGAACAGTGTTAGATATACAGCTAGTGCTCAAGAACACAGATGAATGGAATACATCACAGAGCCACTGTCCCCTGCCACATCTCACTTGTCACCCAGCAGCACAAAGGTTCAATCATCGATGTCAACATTCCCAGAAAGAGATCTCTGAGTAACACAGCAAATAAACCTAAAAGCTGAGATATATGTGTCACTTCTGCTCAGTGGTTGGGACCTCTCTAACTATTAAAACAAAAACACCAAAGAGAGACCCCCACACTTTGGAAAGGTAATTATTTAGTCTAAATTTCATATCATTCTGACTTGATGGCTTAACAAAGTGCTTTCTAAGATCAACAAACTAACACCAAAACAGAGACAGAAAAGGCATGAATGAGGTGTGCAGCCTGCACTGAACTAACCAGCTAGACGGCTGGTCTTTCTCAAGAGAGGAAGAAAGAGTGGGCTTCAGAAAGGCTGACATGACAAGAAAAGAACCCCTCTCTACCTCTACTTCCATCTCATCTGCTTGGTCCCCTTCACAGGGTACTCTAGGTTGAATTTAAAAGGAAGCAGACTAAAAGAAAAATAAAATGTATGTCATTCAAACACTGCCATTAGCTAAAACAAATGTACACAAGAACTTCCATCAACTCTAATCTGAAAAAGAGTTTAGGTTCCATCTCCCATGTTCCCAAAATGCTTTTTAGATACCTCTTACCTTCAAGAAAAAGTACTTATAAACACCTTACACTATGCAAGAAAAGTACTTATAAACACCTTACACTATGCAAAAGATAATCTGTATATTCCTCTAGTAGTTTAAATCCTATGCAAAAGTAAAGTTCATCTTTATTCGTAGTTTCTTGTAAACTACTTAAAATAGGTTCAGACTGAAAGGCAAGTGTTTTTTTTTTTTAACTGAAGAGGAAAAATACCTTAACTGTAGTTCATTCATTCATTCATTTATTTATTACGACCATGTATCATTGCTGGCTGTATCTATAAAAGTGCTGCATTCAGGCTTGACAAATACAGTGATAAAGACAGGCAGTATGCAATTCAAAATACCTGCTTCATAAACTTGCTTTATGGTTCTTATTTCTTCAGGTGTCCTTGAAGCGATAATTTCAGTCAATACTTTCTCATTCGTCCCAGCTCCCTGTGAAAATTTATTTTTAAGAAAGAAAATACATCACTAAGATTAAAAAGAAAATTATCTTCCTAGATGTTATCAAATTGTATAATCAGTCACATATCATCCAATACAACATAGACTATTTCATTGATAAATTCCATTAGTGATATGAAATGTTCAATGAATTTTATCTCCAAAAGTTTATTTCCTTTATTGTCTTTTGTCTAATGAAAACAATGTTTATTGTTAAATAAATGTATATACTATTATACATGAACATACATATATGTGTGTATATATACCATAGGTTACAAAAATTTATAACTTACAATTTGATCAGCTAATTCTAGTTTAAAAACCAAACATTTTAATAATGTGAAATAACAAAAAGGCTGAAAAATAACGACAAAAAATGTTTCACACATTTATTTAGAGGGTCACCATCTGTACCTGAGAAAATACCTGTACCTCAGAATCTGTACCTTAAGCAATCTGTACTTCAGAAAATAAATCCCTATACCCAAGTTAAATTCTATATGAAGCCACAAGCAAATTCTGCATCCGAGATAATGCTATAGTTAAAGACTTAGGTATTAAAGGTTGATTCCAGAGCAGCTCTACCAGCACGACCAAGGCAGGTAGGACCTAGTATGGTGTCCTCAGGTCACTGGGTGTGACCTTGCAGAAGACTATAAAACCCTGGCCCTCTCTCTACTCTCTCTCTTGCTTCCCAGCAGTAAGGGCTGTGGTTTTACTCAGCCATGTGCTCTTGATGTGCTGCCTGGCCACAAGCTCAAACTAACAGGGCCAGTGTATTCCAGACTGAAACTCTAAAACTGTGAGTTAGAACAAACCTTTTCAGGTACTTCTTATAGTAAGGGAAAGCTAACACAGGCAACAATAAAGATAGCATGGTTCAGTTTCCATGAATTGTATCAGTAGAATGGAATTGAAATGTGCTTTCTGGATTTTTGGGAAATAATTTTAGTTTCTTTTCCTTTTTCTGCTTATGAAACTCTTACCTACATTGCTAATTAGAAAATATAAGAAATACTATGGCTGAACTTAAGGTTTTTTAAAATGATTTAAGTCTATTTCCTTTTTATTTCTATTTCTTTACCAAAAAATATGAAACATTAAAAACCTGGGTTTATCCTCTGTCAGAATTTCAGCTACTGTTGACAGTCCAGAAACATTTCCACAATAACTTACTACTTTATTTTATTCCACAAGAGTCACTGTAGGAAAATGAAGCAAATCTGCATAAACAGGCTTCTAACTGAATAAATATGTTTCTCCTTCCACTCCCTAAGACTCCCTGAGCTATATTAACTCCTCGAGGTTAAACCTCAATTTCTCTCTTATTTAAAGTTCAACTTCTAACCCCTGAACTTATCCCCAACTCCAAATAAATGTTTCAGTGTAGCCTTATATATCCCACACTGCTCAAGGAAATACACATTTACTTTCTGCTACAAGTGAAATTGTAACAAATTTACCAGTTACTTTGTTGTTCCTTAACCAGATAACTTTCAACTTAATGAGCTGAAACATTTCGTTTGTAACATTTTTAAACACTGCTCAAAATCAGAAGATAGACACAAACATAAAACAAAAATCTCTAAAAGATTAAAAATTTAAGTAGCCAATGTTGTTGAGGTTAAGTATACAATACTAATAAATGACCCATATGATTTCTTTCCTTTACTTTATTGCTTCCTACAGTTGTGCCTTAAAAGTAGCCCTCACTGAAATAAGTTGGGTATGATTTTTTAAGACACGGTAATTAAGACATAATAATTACCCAAACAAAATGACATGATGTATGACATCCTTTTACCTTAAGACACAATAATTACCCAAACAAAATGACATGATGTATGACATCCCTTTACCTTAAGACACAATAATTACCCAAACAAAATGACATGATGTATGACATCCCTTTACCTTAAGAGCATGCTTCAGTTCATAGGCATCATAAAGATGAGAGGGTTTCATCAGAGCCACGATTAACTTCTCAAATTTTCCAGTCAGTTCTGATTTCAAGTCATCCAGAAGATCCTAGCTCACAGAAAAGATAAGCTGCTTAGCCAGACAGAGCTTTTAAAGTGACTCTTAAATATAAATGATAGTCCTTTGCTTAAATGAAATCTATATGCTGCTATCTCCAAGGTTCAAGGAGTTAAACAAAAGCCCACCCTGGCAGCACCTGTTTTTGACCTCTGACCTAAATGTTAAGCAAAGTCACTCACAAATCATCTATTTGTTTTTAAGACATGTTTTTATTGACTTCAAAAGTTAAAAACAATGAATAATTTTAAAAGTAAACTAAAAGCATGGATTGATGAATAGCTCCATGATAGAGCACTAGATAGCACGCACAAGGCCCTAGATGCGATCTCCAGTACCACAAAAGAAAAGAAGTAGGCTAAAACCTGACATTAAAAAACACTACTCTGCTGGGCATGGGAGCAAATGCCTGCAGTCCTAGCACTCAAGAGGCTGAGGCAGGAGGATTGATACAAGTTGAAGACCAATCTGAGCTGCAATCTGGATGCAAAGTCAGCTCAAGGGCAGCCTGAACTGCATAGTAAGACCCTGTCTCAAAACAACAACAAAAAAAGCTACTCTGATGAACATGTACATCTCACAAAAATCCCCAAAACAAAAAACCTAAATGCATTTTTATTTAGCCTGTCATACCTGAACATTTTTTTTTCTTTTCTGTCAAGAGCTAATAACATAATATGAAATACATTACGGTCATTATTATGCTTCTGACCACTGAAAGATACCTGTTAGTACGGGTAAAAATGCACATATAATGATGAAATTTCTGTCATTTTCAGCACACCAGGTGAAAAAACACCACATTTAGAACATTTTCTTAGGGGTAGGCACGGGATACACAGCAACTCAGTGGTAGAGCCTTTGCCCAGCACACATAACTCTGTGGGTTCAGTCACCAATACTTCAGGAACAAAACAAAAAAAGACCAATTTTTTTCTGTTTTACATTTGTTTCTTAACCAAATATAAATTTTCAAGATAATCAAATTGATTAAGTTTTTCACATACACATTCACTCTTTTAGTAATCTTTTTTTATTATGAATTGTTAATAAATGCACTTAGATCGATTAACTAAAAATTAACTTAAAATGACCACAAAGAGAACCACGACTCTGTCATAACAAAAAATGGGGAATAAAACATGGCTCGGTGGGGAGCACAGAAGAAGAGAAAAGGAGCCTTCTGAGACCTTGAGAGCACCACGCAAGGAAAAACAACAATATGAGAAAAGGTCAGTTGATTATCACCTACCAACAGCTTATAATTTAGAGGAAAACAAGAAAAACAGGTGAAAGTTACAAAACAAATAATATAAAGATAACAAAGTATTAATTGTTTCAAAATTTTGTTTTCTTTTTAAGATAAAAAAGCAGTAAATAATATTCTTTACAGAAAAAAATCACTATGATTGTTCCTCCATATCTGGGTTCTACACCTGCAGGTTCCACCAACTTCAACTGAAAACATTCAGGTGAAAAACTGCATTGGTACTGAGTATGTACAGATGTTTTTGTGATCCTCTAAATAAAAGAGCAGTTATACTGTATTAGCTACCGACATAAGTAAACAGGATGGTATCCACATGCTGCATGCAAATGCTATTATCATTTCATATAAAGGACTTGAACACTGCACATTCTATACCTGCAGAGTCCTGACCGAGTCTCTCACTGCAAGCAGTGAGTCTCTCACTGCAAGGAACTGTCTTAAAACCACAGCCCCACTCATGCTGCACCTGGGGATGAGGGTGACCTTACCCTGCCAAACAGAGTCTTAAAGGCCTCAGCAATTTTCTGGCGCTGAGCATTACTTCGGGCTGTCAGCAAAGTCAGGATGGCCTCCTCATCGGTGCCTGTAATTTGGGATTAACAATTACAAATCGGCTCCACCACACCCACTCTCAGTAACCCCCAAAGCCAGCTCCCCACTCAACTGGCTTTCTTCTATGAGCATGTAAAATATGTATTAATGTTTTACTGAATAATTTATTCAAAAAATAAAGCTGACAACATACAAAATGCTTTATTTCTGGTGTACACTACCCTCTACCCCCAATGCATCTTGAGATAGGTAGAAAAAACTCCTTACTTTTTAAAAACTGAGGCTCCTAGTTTACCATGCAACAAATAGTTACTCAAGTAACAGCTATTCATGAGGCACAATAGGCTGCTGCTACAGTAGACTGGGAAAAGAGAAAGGTATAGAACCGGGCTTCAAATTACAGATAATGTAGGTGTGCAAAATACAACACACTAACACAAGGGGAGCCTGAATGGCAAATGGTTCAGGGGAAGTGTGTGTATTAAGTGGAGTTCAAAGGCTGTCTCCGCTTGACAGGAGGCAGAAAGGAGTTTGGGGGAAAGTCCACGGAGAAAGTGACACCCACAACAGTCCTGAAGAAGAAAGGGATTGTGAGAGGCAGGAATGCAAGGAAGAAAGTCAGGCTTTGAGAAAAAGGAGAAAGCGCAGTGTCAGGAACATGCAGGGAGTCCAGGACTAACAGACGACCCAGACAGAGCAGCAAAGGTGGGCGGGGCTGGGGATGCACAAGACCTTGGGAGGCCAGAGCACACAGGACATGGTGGGGAAGGAGCCCCAGTGCAGGGACACGAGTGACACATGAAATCCCTCCGATGAGAGGTCTGTAAATGGCTGGAAGAGACTGAAGGATATCGAGGATGACCCACAAAATTATTCGGTTACCTTAATGTGCCTACAAATTTCACCTCATTATTCTAAAATTAGTTAATTTGTTTTATAAAATTAGGAACAAGCGGGAGGTTGAACTTACCCAGGCCTTTCATGGCCTTCCGAAGAGTTTCTGCATCAGCTCGATCATCAAATCCAGGAAAGGCAGTCACTGTGCCTCTGAGAACCTGAGACGGGGAGCACAGTAAGGCTGTCTATAGCGTTACAGTGTGGCAAAGCAGACAATGGAAACAGTCGCCTTTGCTCTGTGTCATGTTCAACCTCTGCATAAAGTTACCATTTGGTAAGGTTTATGCCTCCTTTAGAAACTCGACCATTTGCAACTAGCAGGACCAATTCAGCATGAGCAACCCTGAGTCATCAGCAATCCGTTAGTGGAAGGCTGGCAGGCTTTCACTTCCCCTGGGCATCAGATCCTCAGTGATCATGCCCCACCTCCATGCCCTGGTTCAGAGAGGGCACTAACCCTCTGCAGTCATTTACACTGAGTCTGGCACTTTGATCCAAAAATATGCCAAATCTGCATTAAAACATGACATCCAACCCTGAGCACAACCCAAAGCAAGGCTCTTATTTGATACATCATCACCCTAAATCCTGTTCTTTATACATATACATGTGGAGATATGACAATAACTCACCAAGTCCTGAAAACATACTTTGTAATTTGTACACCCTAAGAATATGCTGGAAGATATTGTTTAAAAAGGCTTCCAGTTATACATACTTTTTAATAATCAAAATGTTAATATTTACCCTGTATCACAATATCATTGGATCCTTAAACTCAGAAGCCTTTACTAACACTGAAACATAAATTTTTATCCTATGATAGAGGACTCTCCTTGCATTTACGTTTACCAATAAATGCTTTTGAATTCCTCAAACTCCTGTTAATGTACTGTCTAAAGTCAGGGAACAAATAACTACAACAAGAAAAAAAAGGCTGTCTGATTTATGCTACTATATGTTTTATAATGAATGAATGCATAGAAATGCAGTCACCTTCAAGAGGAAAAAATGTTTATATTAGCAGTATCTTAATACTGATCAGATTTTAAACTATAAGCAAGAGAGACTGCCATGGGAAAGAACTTCCATAGCACCCAGCACCAAGCTCAGCTCAGTGGCCTTCTCTCCTTAGTGGCGCTAGACTATGATTCCTGAAACAACTTTCATGGATCCAACAGATCCTGACACAGACTCTCCTTGAGCATATTTTAGACTGGCTTCTCTGAGCTTGTTTTCTCTGTCCACCTGGCTTGCCCTGCTATAGCAAGAATTCTGCTAAATCAGACTAGAAAAGAGAGACCCATTTTGAATTTTCTAATTGCCCTATTATGGACTGTCTGAGTCTCCCCCTGGAATTTATAGTTTGAAAGCTGTGCCAATGAATCTTAATTCACTGGGCAGGCGGCTGGATCACAGGGTTGATTACTCTCACCGGCACATTGATCCTGCAGTGTTCACGGCTGAACGTGCTGTTAGAAGCGGGCCCTGGGGAGGTGGACCCTTAGCATGCTCTGCTCTGCTCTGCTGTCAGGACACTGCATAGTGAGCAGCCTTGCTCTGCCTCGCCCTTGCACCACGATGTTCATGGCTTACAGCCAGCCAACCACAGACCAAAATCAAACCGTGAGCCAGATGAACCTCTCCTGCTCCAAGTTACGAGTGCAAAATATTTTGTTTCAGTAACAGGAAAGGTGGCTAATACAAACTCCTATCCTATAGTGTGATGGTACTAAGCGGAAGGGCCTTTGGGAAATAATTTGGATTAAATAACATCTTGAAAGCAGGGCTCCCGTGAGTCCTCAGGGGCTTGCTCAGCTCAGGCGTTTGCCATGTGAGGAAGTATACAGAAGGCAGACATCTAAACCCAGGAGAGAGCCTTCACCAGAGCATGACCATGCTGCATCTCTAGCTCAGACTTCAGCTTCCAGAACTGTGAGAACTAAATTTCTCTTTAGAAGCCACTAGTCTATAGTATTCTGCTTTAGCAGCACAAACACACCAAAACATCCACTTTGTGTCTCCTCATCCTCCACCCTCACCACCTGATCACCCTAGTCTGCCTTCGGAAAGAACCCTGTTAGGTCAATTTAGCAAAATTCCCCCTATATCCCATGTGGCTACTTAGCAACTTTCCTTCCACTGCCTCTGTAGTTGACTGCAAATTCCTGTCTTCACTGCATTCCAAGTTGAGCCTGGTGTCTCTCCCCTGTGATGATACTCATGGCCCACATTACCAATCTTGAATCAGTCTTCCTTGCCATTTTTAATATGTGTCAGAAAAACCTCTGCTGTGAAAAGAGGCAGCTGTGAAACAACCTGCAGGTTAACCTAAGTTCATGGAGCTTCTCCTGATCAAAGCAGCAAAAAAACACTAGCTGAGAGAAGGGGCATCCTTCAGGACAAGAAGTTATTAGAGTAGAAGGAGAAGAAATTGAAAAAAATTCCAAATGAAAAATTCCAATTCCAGTTTTGTAATCTTCTATAGCATGCCTGCTATAGAGAAATGCCAAGTCAGCCATCCTGAAGCCAAATCAGAATCATGCCAAAGTTACTTCTGTTCCTGTTTTTCCTTGCCATTTTCATGCCACCAAATTTGATTTGATCAGGACTTTTTTTTTTAAGACAGAGCCCCACCCAGTTGCAAAGGGTGGCTGCAGACTTTCCTGCCCCAGCCTCCCTTCCCTCCTGGGGAGGTGCTCTGAATGGCCTTGCTGTCGCCAGACAGCTTGAATGTCTTCCTGTTCTCTGCAGGATGACATCTGCAGGTTTTGTATTTTTGTGTGTGTGCACCTCCCCAACTCCATAACCTTCCTCTTGCTGTTTTCTATTCAAACTGACCACCTGTCGCACTCTCCTGAAATAGTTAACCATATACCCAAAGTACCGGATCATTTCATTTTTTCATAGTTCATGCATGTTGAAAATTACCCTTAGTACTTCTTTGCTTTTCTGATCATGGCTGTTAAATTCACAAACAACTTTCAAGACCTATTTTGGAATTTTTTCAAATTTCTTCTCCTTCCACTCTAATAATTTACTTTCCTGGTCACGCAGTCACATTATTCTGATCTAAGCTTTGTGTGTATGCATGCTGCTGCACTTAATTATACAGTACGCCTGTCATTTCTGTTTCAGTGATCATGACTTTTAGTGCATTATTTGGAATATAGGAAGCATACTGCAGAAGGCCTACGGTGAGAATGGCAGCTTATACCTGCTGAGTGTGGTTGGCGTCAGTGAAACTACACTGTATTCATGCAGAAAGCCAACAGTTTAGAAAGGTTTTGCAAGTCTCCCAAGTAACTATCAAGCAAGCGCACAGGCTTGTGGTTCCTAAACTTATAACTACACAGCCACACGGACTCCCCAAGTCCAGAAGAAACTGCAGAGGGTCATGCATACTGCCGCCAAAGGGGTAATGCCAGAAAAGGAAAGAAAGAAGCATCCACTACCTCAGGAAAGTCTAGGATCAAAGAGCTCCCCTGGATTTGGTAGAGAGGAGGTCTTCAGTGCAGCGAAAGCATGGAGGCCACACTAAGAGTAAACTAAGAGACAGAGAAACCGCCTCTTAAACACAATGGTGGATCTGGCAGTAGGCTTTGAAGAAACTGCTAGAAGAGAGTTAAAAATGGGAAAGGGGTTACAAAGCGAAAAGAGGCATTTTCTCACAGGAAAAAAAATCTGACCCTAGGGACTAAGCCATACAACCTAAAAGATTGAAAAAAAAAAAGTCCTTAAAAATCTCAGCTATTTGCTCTGAAGAAGAAATGACTGCTGGCCATGTATTTAAGAGCAATCGCAAAATTATGAAAGAGTTTTTTCTCTACATTCATACGATCAGAGTTGTTTGCCAAAGCAAGGCCACGTAGCGGTGTGTAGGGGACTGATGTGAGTCACAGATCTGAATCATGAGGGCAGAGCCCTTCTTTGGACATCCTGCCCAAGCCCATCGATGCCCACACAGCTCTGCCTACAACTCTGGCTCTAGATGAGTCACTCACTGGGCTTCCCCGTTTCCTGGGATTCCCACATTTCGTGAACCTTAACTCCTATTCTAAGCAGGCTCTGGGCTCCCTGCACTCAGCCTCCGTTTATCTCATCCCCCCCATCCAGGACTCACCAAGAGAATCTCTGTTTTCTTAGACCACACAAAGACAAAATGTACAATTCATGCTTGTAATTCTAATCTTCTAAAATACCCATTCTTTAGCTCTATAATTCTGTTGACTTTTTCCTCCTGTAAATTAGAAGTTCTTCTACCTCCCACCCCTCACCCAAGAAAAACTAGAAATGCCAAAATAAAATGAGTAAAATTAACCAAGCGAAGGGTTGCTTTTTCTACATACAGCATTTAAAGATACGGGAAAATAATATATAAATAACCATCTCAAGTTTAAAGAGGAGAAAACATTCCTGGTCAGGAATATGTTAAATAAAGCTTTCCTAGAGGAACAAACCCTCTTAACCTTTCCAAATATGTAATCAAAGTTTAATCAAACACCCACTCAACATTCCACACAATACTATCAAGAGCCCATAAACTATGAAGCAAACTAGCAAAGTCAAACAACTGCTATGCAGCTGTGTGGGGTTTTAAGTATAGTTCTCCAGAGCCTCAGGTTTCCAAAAGCCTCAGGCAGTTGATGGAAAGGTCAAGAGACAGAAAAAATAAAAATGGGACAGTTCCGTCCCTCTCTTTCAGTCAGAGCGCATCAGGTTGTACCCCCAACATGCATAGCTGAGGTCCACTAGCATTTCCTGTGATAATAAATTCTACCAATGGAAAAAAAAAAAGAAAGAAAAGAAGAAAAAGTTAGTATCACCTGATTGTGTGTTTGGCTGCAAAGTAAAATAAATACCAGAACAAAAATGAGGTCCTCCAAGCGAAATGGGGGGGAGGAGTACAAATTCAACAGCTAACAAAGACAAGATCTCAACCTCTAATCCTTACCCTTGTTCTAATCTCTCAAAAAAGATGAGTATTTTGGTACAAATCCTCGAAATCAAATTAGCCTACGCTTACTTGTGCATGACTTCCTTTCCTTTTCTTCATTCTTCAGTCTCATTGTTGCTGCTTACTATTTTGACCTCTTACCTTTAACCTTTTTCTTAAGGTGAGAGGAGAAAAAACAATCACTGTAAAATATTTTCACGG